TATTGTTAATAAAAATCAAGCACCATAAACAATTCAAATGACTACCAGTAAAATGGATAAGAAAAGATTTACACAAAGAAATATCATATAACAATGAAAATGAACAAACTAAACCTACACAAAAAGATGGTTTCATAACCCTATTGTTGAAGCAAAGAAAACACAAATACATAGAGAATGATCTCAGTTAAAAAAAATCACAAACAAGTAATTCTAAAGTTGTTTTAATACTTTATGCATTCTATAAAATAAGAAAGTGATCAGAAACAGTAAGACAACAGTTACCAGGGATGCAGCCTGCCATGTGGATGTCGGTTCAAGTCCCAGCTGCATCACTTCCATCCTAAATCTCTGCTGTATCTGTGAAATCAGTGAAAGATGGCTCAAGTGCCTGTGTCCTTGCTACCCATGTGGGAAACCTGGATGAAGTTCTAGCTCCTGACTTCTGGTTTTGGCTTGGCACACACCTGGCTGATGCAGCCATTTTAGCATCTGAACTTAGTGGGTGGAAGATTTTTTCTCTCTTTCTCTCTGTAAACCTGCCTTTCAAATAAAAACAAATAATCCTTAAAAATGGTGTTTACTCCGAAGACAGGTGATTTAACAGATAAAGAAGGTAAGGTGAATAAAAGGTGCTAGAAACAATTCTATTTTGACCTAAACAGCTACTCCAACAGCCACTTTATGATTAGTCACCATATTGAATTCCTGTAGTGATTTATATAAATGTCTTACAGCCTCCATCAGATTTATTTATATCTACATGTACACATTGTTGCTATGACAAAAGCTTTTTTTCCATTTTATTTTCTGTTTGGTGCTAGTTATAGAAACACAACTAAATCAGATACCTTAATCTTACATGCAACAACCTGCAACTTATAGATTCTTTTCTTAACCAATAGATTTAAGAGAGTTTTAAAAACATAGAGCTGGTGCATTGGAAGTAGGCTAAGCCTACAGCACCAGCATCCCACAGGGGCATCAGTTGAGTTTCAGCTGCTCCATTTCTGATTCCACTCCCTGCTAATGCACCTGGGAAAGCAACAGCAGAAGGCCTAAGCACTTGCAACCCTGCATCCACACAGGAGACTGGCTCCCAGCTTCCAACCAGTACAGCTCTGACTATTGCAACCATCTGGGGAGTGGACCAGAAGATGGAAGAACTGTGATTTTCTCTATAAAACCGCCTTTCAAACAACAAAATCACACCTGCAAATAATCACAATTTTGTTTCTTCGTTCTAATCTTCGTATCATTCCTTTGCATTTCTTGCTTGTTATACTGATTACAATCTAGTTCAATGATACATTACTTTCATATCATATAAAAATATTTTACTATACATTTTTCTTAATTTATTTTACTTTTATTGGAAAGCCAGATATACAGGAAGGAGGAGAGACAGAGAGAAAGATCTTCCATCCATTGATTCACTCCCCAAGTGACCGCAAAGGTCAGAGCTGCATTAATCTGAAGCCAGGAGCCTGGAGCTTCTTCCAGGTCTCCCACGCGGCTACAGGGTCCCAAGGCTTTGGGCCATCCTCCATTGCTTTCTCAGGCCACAATCAGGGAGTTGGATGGGAAATAGGGCTGCAAGGATTAGAATCAGTGACCAAATGGTATCCTGGCACATTCAAGGCAAAGACTTTAGCTGCTAGGCTACTGTGCCGGGCCCTAAAAATATTTTTAAATAGGGCCCAGTGCAGTAGCCTAGTGCCTCGATCCTTGTCTTGTATCCAGTGGGATCCTACACAGGCACTGGTTCATGTCCCAGCTGCTCCATTTCCCATCCAGCTCTGTGTCTGTGGCCTGGGAAAGCAGTAGAGGATGGCCCAAGACCTTGGGATTCTGCACCTGTGTGGCAGACCCCAAAGAAGCCCCTTGCTCCTGGCTTCAGAACAGCTCAGCCCTGTCCAGTGCGGCCACTTGGGGAGTAAATCAGAGGACAGAGGATCTTTCTGTCTGTATCGCCTTCTCTCTATAGATCTGACTTTCCAATGAAAAATAAACCCTTTTAAAAAATATTTTTAAATAGGTGAGACATTCTTAACGTGGACCCACATTCTGATGATTAATTACCTTATACACTCATCTCTCAAGAAATGAAGCTCTCCAGCCTGGATGAAGACATATTTATTAAAACTATCATTCTAATAATCTAAATTTCTCAGTTAATAGAATCAAGGTTAGTGCATCCACACTTTCAAATTAATCCAACTGCATTACAAGTTTATTTCTACTTTTCAAATTAAGTATACAATAATTAAAAGAATGCAAACAATGCCATCTAAAATGTGAAAGTGTATGCAAACTACAGCTTCATTATTTAATGTTTACATAGCACTGAAGGATTGAAAAGCACTTTACAGAGGGGGAAAAAAACAAACCTTTCATACACTTACAACATAACAAAAGAGGCAGGGAAGAAAAACAAATCTCCTTTTAGACATGGAGGTGATGTAATCAGGAAAGTACAGAATTCCAACACATTTCCAGAGTTGTGAAGATTCAAAATAACAGCCTTTGATCTCCTAAGCCCATTTACCTATCCATCACAAGCAAATGCTTCTCTGAAGGCGTTTCAAAATACTTGCTCAGCTCCAGCAAGTTAACAACAATAACAAAAAAGCTTCCCTTTTGCACTGTGTGTCTCAGAATACATCTTGTGAACTCTGCCAGTTGGTTTTCTGTCTCCCTGGCTCATAAGGGTACTGATTGACATTAAAGTACCAATTTGTTCTTCTGGAGAATGAAGCATAATAGTGGGGCAACCAATTCTCCAGAATCTCATCTGGGTCAACGAGCAGCATAGCGCAGCACTGACCAGTCAGAAGCCTAATCAAGGTCAAAGAAGCTCCATTCATGGTACAGGGAAGAGTTTGCAGCTGCAGTACATCTTCACCCAAGGATTACTCCAGGGTTCACCTCTCTCAAACAAGCACTGATCTAGTACCATCTGAATGTCACAAGTCAGACATCCCTTGAACTTGATAACCAAGTGGCCGGGTTACTACTTACTTATCTAAAAGCATATACCATTCAGAAAATCAGGTCACATGTTTCTTTGGATGAACTTTTTCTCCAATGAGCAATGTGAAACATGTTATAATCAACTTGCAATTTAAAATTAATATTGAAACCACTCAATTAATCAATAATTCATACTCTATGTTTTGCTACAAGCTAAACAAAGATGCTTAGGACCCAAGGGGCAAAAATGTCAGAAGACCCACTTATCTCCTAAGGATATCTGTCTATCAGGGACTTAAAATTTCAATTTGAGAGCTGGTATTGTGATTCCAGTTCACAACCTGGTTGCTCCACTTCTGATCCAACACCTTCCCCAAGCCCCAGCTAATAAGCCCAAAGCAGCAGAAGATGGCCCAGCTAACTGGACCCTCCCACTCATGTAGGAGAGCTGGATGAAGTTTCTGCCTTCAGCCTGGCCCAAGACTGGCCGTTGTGACCTTCTAGGGAATGAACCACTGGATGGAAGATCTCTTTCTCTCTCTGACTTTAAGATTATAAATCTTATTTTTAAAAAGAATATTAAATATGGTAATAGGAAAAATGGGGAAATAGAAAAAAATGTAATACTGGCATTACTTAATAGGAACAGTTTATTAGTAAGATTTTTTTAAAAGGCAGGTAGCTCCTTTAAATTATTGATTTCTTATTCTCTCAAAATGACAATTTATAATTAGCTTTTCAGGGAAATAATCAAGGTAAAAAGCACATTTGAGTAAGTATTCTATCATATCAAATGCAACTATAGGGGCAAAAAGGTTAAAAAAAAGACTACCCGGGGCCCGGCGCGGTGGCGCAAGTGGTTAAAGGTCCTCGCCTTGCACGCCCGGGATCCCATATGGGCGCCGGTTCTAATCCCGGCAGCCCCGCTTCCCTTCCAGCTCCCTGCCTGTAGCCTGGGAAAGCAGTCGAGGACGGCCCAAAGCTTTGGGAACCTGCACCCGCGTGGGAGACCCGGAAGAGGCTCCTGGCTTCGGATCGGCATAGTATCGGCCCGTTGTGCTCACTTGGGGAGTGAATCATCGGATGGAAGATCTTCCTCTCTGTCTCTCCTCTCTGTATATCCGCCTTTCCAATGAAAAAATAATAAAAATAAATCTTTAAAAAAAAAAAAAAAAGACTACCTGACCCATGTAGCAATTCATTTTTTGGGTTTTTTAAAAGATTTATTTTTGGGCCAGGCATGGTAGCCTAGCAGCTTAAGTACTTGGCTTGCACATGCCAGGATCCCACATGAGCACCGGTTCTAATCCTGGCTGATCTGCTTCCCATTCAGCTTCCAGCTTGTGACCTGGGAAAGCAGTCAAGGACAGCCCAAGGCCTTTGGACCCTGCACCCGTGTGGGAGACCCCGAAGAGCTCCTGGATCCTGGCTTCAGAATGGCTCAGTTCCAGCCGTGCGGCCACTTGGGGAGTGAATCAGCAGATCGAAAATCTTCCTCTCTGTATATCTGACCTGAACTGGTGCCCATATGGGATGCCGACACATGCAAGGTAAGGATTTAGCCACTGAGCCATCACGCCGGGACCTGCCATGGTAGTAACTCTTTCATAATCAATCATATCCATTTATGCAGTAAACCACAGGCAGATTATTCAGAAATAAATTCTTTAAAATTGCCCCAATTAATCAAATACCCTCAATATTGAGCAACTGAAACTTTAACAGTAGTGAGAAAAGTAATTTGAAGTAATTATAATTTTAACACTAATTTTTTACAATTATTTAAAAATGACTGAATTAAAAGGCAGGGTATCACCAAGAGAGGGAGAGATAAAGAAAAGGCTGCCCAGTTGGGTCTAGGGCAGGCCAAAGCCAGGAGCAAGAAACTCCATTCTTCTCTCCCAAGGATGTGGGCCATCCTCTGCTGCAGAACAGAGTAGCCAGCTCTCCAGCTGGCCCTCTGAAACAGAGCGCTGACTCAGTGGCTTAATGCATTCTACCACACCACCAGTCCCTGAAGCTCTTACCTTGAGAGCACAAAAGATGCAGGAATCTCCCATGCACTTGTGAGTTGTAAGCTGTCTAAAACTACGGCGGAAGATGTCTAAGTGCCACAAGACCTGATGAAAAAGGGAAAGTACTTCATCACTCCAAAAGGAACCATACTGATTTCACATTCAAGAGCTACAGCAACACACGTAACAATTGAAAATAATTCTTTATTCCCGTGAAAAATGTTTACTTCTTTAAAGGGCAGAGTAACAAAGAAGAGAGACGACAGAGAGCTACACAGAACTTCCCTTTGTTGGTTCACTCCCAAAAATCACAACAGCCAGGCATGGATCTCATCAAAGATAGGAGCCAGGAACTCCCTCCTGGATGCCCAAGTGAGTGACAGGGGTCCAAGTACTTGAACCATCTTTTGCTGGCTGCCCAAGCACAGGTACACAAAGCTGAATCAGAAGCAGAGTTAGAAGGAGGAATTCAGCCTGCCTGAGGTTGCAGATGGTGGCTGATATCATTGCACATTACCAGTCCCCAAAAGCCCATTCTAGGACATTAAGATAACCATTTAAAACGGCAGTGGGGAGGGCAAAATATCTAACAATAAAAACAAATATTCCAGGAAAGATTGACTTGAACATAAAGAGAAAGTCACGGCAATGATATGGTATAACAATGATGGAGAAATTCACATCCCATAATGGACTGCCTAGGTTCAATTTTTTTTGTTTTTTAATTGGAAAGGAGGATATACAGAGAAGGAGGGACAGAGAGGAAGATCTTTCATCCAATGATTTACTCCTCAAGCAGCCACAATGGTTGGAGCTGAGCCAATCCAAAGCCTGGAGCTAGGGGTTCATCCGGGTATCCCACATGGGTGCAGAGTCCCAAGGCATTGGGCTATCCTCGACTGCTTTCCCAGGCCACAAGCAGGGAGCTGGATCGGAAGTGGAGCTGCTGGGATTAGAACCGGTGCCCAAATCTAATCATTATCCCAGTTTAATCATGACAAAACATCAGACAAATTCCAACAGAAGGGCAACCTACAAAATGTCTAACCACTTCCCTTCAAAAGTATCAAAAGTTGGGCCAGGCATGGTAGCTTAGCAGTTAAAGTCCTTGTCTGGCACATGCCAGGATCCCATATGGGCACCAGTTCTAATCCCAGCAGCCCCACTTCCCATCCAGCTCCGTTTGTGGCCTGGGAAAGCAGTGGAGGATGGCCCCAAACCACACCCACATGGGACACCTGGAAGAGGTTATGGGCTCCAGGCTTCAGATCGGTGCAACTCCAGATGTTGCAGCTGCTTGGCGAGTGAATCAACGAACAGAAGATCTGTCTCTCCTCTCTGTATATCTTACTTTCTAATAAATGAATTAAAACAAAAAGCATCAAACGTTGTCAGAAACCAGGACATTCTAGACCAAAGCGCAGGTTCAGAAAATAAATTGAAAGCTGGGAGAATTCTAGGACAGAGCAAGACAGCAGATAAAAATTAAAGAAATCTGAATAAATTGTAGACTTCAGCTTAAAAGAGAAAATTACATAATATATCACAGAATTGCCTTGGGAAACTCCTCTTGCTAGAAAAAAAATTAACAGCACAAAATTTAAAAAGCACTAAACAGCCAAGGCAAAACATAATTGCGGAGCATGCGTCTTATCTCTGTCATGAAAAGTTAAAATACATATTATAGTTGGGGACAGCCTGCCACAGTGTTCCACTGGCTAATCCTCACCCTGCAAACATCAGGATCCAATATGGGTGCTAATTCATGTCCCAGTTGCTCCACTTCCCATCCAGCTCACTGCTTGTTGGTAAGATGGCCCAAAGCATTGGGACCCTGGACCCACATGAGAGACCTGGAAGAAGCTCCTGGCTCCTGGCAACAGACGGGCTCAGCTCTGACCATTGTGGCCAGGCAGTGAAACAGTGAGGATCTCCTCTGTCTCTCCTCCTCTATATATTTCTGACTTTCCAACTTAAAAAAAAATTTTTTTAAATAACTGGAAAGCAGAGAACTGAGAGTATGAAATTTTTATTACCTAGAAAAGTTGCAAGATTCTTGTATTATGAATGGGGAAACTCAAATACTATTATCTATGCAAGGTTGGGCTACAAAAGACCTAAAACCAGAATTCAGATCTCATAATCCTCAAGTGCAGTACTATTTACACCAATAGTATTCTCACCTTTTTAAAAAATGACTCATGGTGCCGGTACCATTCCCTAGAGGCTAAAGTCCTTGCCTTGAACACGCCAGGATCCTATATTGATACCTGTTCTAATCCTGGCAGACCTGCTTCCCATCCAGCTCCCTGCTTGTGGCCTGGGAAAGCAGTTGAGGATGGCCCAAAGCCTTGGGACCCTGCACCTGTGTGGGAGATCCAGAAGAGCTCCTGGCTCCTGGCTTCAGATTGGTGTAGCATCGGCCATTGTAGTCACTTGGGGAGCAAATTGTCAGACGAAGATCTTCCTCTCTGATTCTCCTCTCTCTCTCTATCTGATGTTGCAATAAAAATAAATAACTCTTTAAAAATATATACATCTATGACTCAGTGTTTTTAGAGATTTTTTTATTTAGGACCAGCACAGTAGCCTAGTGGCTAAAGTCATCGCCTTGCATGCACCAGAATGCCATATGGGTGCCAGTTCATATCCCAGCTTCTCCACTTTCCTTCTGGCTCCCTGCTTCAGGCCTGGCAAAGCAGTTGAGGATGGCCCAAAGCTTCAGGATCCTACACCCATGCAGGGACCCAGAAGAAACTCCAGACTCTTGGCTTTGACAGGTTCAGCTCCAGCCAGTACAGCCACTTGGGGAGTGAATCAATTAAAAAAAAGTAAAATCTAAAAAATACAGAAGGATTAAGTGGTAACTATTTAAGTTTTTAAAAAAAATTTTAAGATATATTTATTTTTATTGGAAAGGTAGATAAACAGAGAGGAGGAGAGACAGACAGGAAGATCTTCCATCTGCTAATGCAGCCAAGTGGCTGCAATTTCTGGAGCTGAGCCAATCCAAAACCAGGAGCCAGGAGTTTCTTTAGGGTCTCCCATGTGGGTGCAGGGTCTCAGGGCTTTGGGTCATCCTCGACTTGTGTTTCCAGGCCACAAGCAGGGAACTGGATAGGAAGTAGGGCAGTTGGGACATGAACTAACACCCAAATGGGATACCAGTGCATGCAAGGATAACCACTAGGCTACCATATTGGCCCCGGTAAATATGTTTTGTTTTTTTTTTCTTTTTAAAGCCTTTTTAATTTACCTGAAAGACAGCAAAATTACTCAGAGAGAGGGAGTTAGACATATCTTCCATTGCTGGGTCACGCCCCAAAAGACTACACAACCAGGACCTGATCAAGCTGAAGCCAGAAACCTGGAACTCCTTTGGTGTCTCCTTGGTGCTATAGAGACCTAAAGACTTGGTCGTCATCTATTGCTTTCCCAGGCACATCAGCAGCGAGCTGGATTGTAAGTGGAGCAGCTAGAACTCAAACCAGCACTCACACAGGTTGCCGGGCTTGCGAGGTGGCAGCTTAACTCACTGTGTTCACACTGCCCCTAGGAAAGCCCCCACAGACCCCAGCTAATATTTCACCCAAGCATAACTATCTTGGGCAGCAAATTCAATTTACTTATACTCTGAAAAACAGAGACGAGGGAAGAGCGATGCATCCAATATATCAGAGATCTGAATGAGCAGGAACTTCAAAACATTGAGACTATTACCATGGCCAACAACAGCAAAAGGGAACATCTCGGGTAAATAATCACCTTGGGAGAACTGACTTCCCACTGGCTCTGTTCAAATATATGACCAGATACCAGTCATGAGCCAATATACAGGTGGGCACAGGGAGACGAAGTGGACGAAGAAGGGACTGCCTTCAGTGTGCGCGCTGGGAGCCTGAATATTCTGAGAAGAAAACAACTTGCCTGAAAGTCTACACTTCAGGAAAGGATTCTGTTTTATATACTAAAGAAAAGCAAATAGGTAATAATAAGAAACACTGGCTGCAAAAAAAAACCCAGAAGAGACTGTTGAGGGAAGAAGTGATAAGTAGAAAGATCACTGTTCTGCTCACGTGCCTTCCTCTGGACAGGTTAGCAAGTTACTATAATTTCTATTATCATTTTAAACAAATATTTTAGCAATGAGGTAATCAAGATTTAAGACAAAACAGCCTGACTAAAACTCACACCAAGAAAACTTTAAGCAGAAGTTACTGATTTCAAGCCCAGACTGTCAGTTATCATATTTAAAAGTGCTACCAGAAATACAACATGGGCAACCTAACAGTCAAAATTCACCAAAAAGAAAGAAATTGCCCTTACCTGCAGGGCACTGTTGAGGAAGCAGCTGTTTTGCCCGGGCTCATTGCTGAGGCCTTTGCTAGGGGCTATGGAGGTTGAGCTTCGAGGTGCAAACATCCCCTGGACACTCCCACGGCCCCCGGAAAAGTAATTTCTCTTCCAAGACATTGTTCACATTTAGCCTAGAAACACAGAGAGGACCTCACTTCTTTATGGTAGAGCAGTTTCATCTACTAAAGTCCTCAAAGGAAAGGAAATCTTGAATTTTTGTGGATTTATCGCCAAAGATTTCAAGTTTCCAACTTGCCAAGCACCATGTATGAAACTCAAATGGCCCAGGTATCCTCTTAGATTCAGATGACAGACCCGCCTCTCCCTTGTTCCAAACAGTGTCACATGGCGCAGGGTTAATGCACACGGAGAAACTGGCAGTGTCAACTCCTTCAGGCTCTCTTCCGTTGCCTCCAGAAGTCCTGGCGAAATGGACGTAACCCTCAACTCCACCAGTCTCCAGGATCAGAGTATGATTCGCTCTTCAGGCTTGTTTATAAGGCTTCTTATGGACTGGAGAGTTTTCCAACTAAAAGGAGAGGCAGTTAGATAAACAGGAATCCAACAGAACCCTCCTTGTCCCAACATTCTCTGAAACAAAAATTCAAGTTCTAAGCAACTGACCAAGATTCCACGAGGACAAGAAGCTGGTTTAGATTATCTAGGGTTTTTGTTGATGCTCTTCTTCACAATGTGTGCCAAATCCTAGCGTCCCATCCAGATCTTCGGAAAGTTTCTTCTCCTTTCTTCTGAGACTAGAATAGCAAGCCGTGCCGGAGAGCTTTAACAGAAAGAAAAAATCAAAAGCTTGCGTCATTTAATGACTCGCCTGGCTTTGCACTGTTCTGCCAAGATCAACGTTGCCTCACCTCTCGTATAAACTTGAAACCTTGGTAAACAATGCCAAAAAAGAAAAAAAAAATACCAAACAACAATAACAAAACAAATTAAAGGAGAGAGAGAGAGAGAAAAAAAAGTGTAACTTTACTTTCATAGGAAACTACTATAACTTTTTTGAAAAAGAAGGAACTTGATTGGGAGAGAAAAACCAAGTAGAAACTTTCCAGAAGCAGGCTAACAAAAAGTATATAAACAACAACAAAGATCACCAAGTAAAATAGAAAACAAAGTAGGAATTGAAAGTTTCTTTGGGAAGTTGCTGGGTAAAATACCTTGCTAAAAGGGTTTTCCATACATATAGTTACCAAAATCTGCTTCAAAATGGGATGAGCAAATAAAGCAGACTGGACTCCATTCTGAGTAACAGATGTTCCAGAGAAAACCCACAGTGAGTAAACCATACATCTGCAACATCCAATCCCAAAGAATTCAATCTTCTCCTACCTTGTTGATTTCTGTCTGAGAATCAGGGAGATAATTTGGAATACAAGTCATTAATTCTTAAATTATATCCACAGGATTCACAACCAGAGGTCATCCACTGACCAACTGAACTTTCCCACTGAATCAAATGCCAGTGAGGCAACAGTGAGCAATTTCAGACAAGCATTTTCCCTCCTAAGAAATTATTCAAGTCCAGCTTGAACATTTCCTAGAAGACTCACACATCTACACTAGGAAAAAAATTAGAATTGTGTGCTACATTTGTTTTTCTAAAAGTTCTTCAATTCTCTCTTCCTTCTCACTATCATATTCATCATAAGGCAAAAATGCTGTGACAACTGTCTCATTCTCTGAAAGAACACCCAGCATTATCCACGGCATGTCCAACGGAAACACTGAGGCACAGAAACAATAAACGTTACACAAGACTGTTTTGCCTAGTCTTTATAATCTTTATAAACTACATGTCACAAAGTATTTGATTATACACTGCACTGTCATAGCATTCACTATGTTTATATTACTCTCTATTTGTTTTATAAGGTATCAGTCATAAATCCTAAATCTGGCTATATGAAAGGAAACACTAATTAGTGTCAGCTATATTAAACACTATATTTACATGCCGTGTTTCATCTTTATAATGTCCCATTAGTTAAGTATTAATAGTTCAATTGTACATAAGAGTAAAGTGAGACTTAAAGACACTAACTTGCCCAACACAAAACCAACCTCAAACAGAACTGTTTGACCAATACACATAGATTTAAAGATGTATTTCATTGTACTATCCCAAAAGTTCCTATCACAATACTAGTCATAGGATGCACTCAATAAATACTATCTGATGATTAACATAGTATAAGAAGGAAACCCACACCACCCACAGAGACTCAAAGACCCTCACCTGTCTTTACACACCCTGGCACACACCCTGCTCAAGCCGCTAAGCAACTTCCAACAAGCTATGCAACATTCCTTTAGCTGAGAGCTGCAAAGGAATGACAAGTACCAAGCCTCCACTTCGCTCTCAGCCAAAGGACTTGGCAGGCAGGTGAGGTTTCCAGTATCCACATTAGGAGCTTACTGAAACTCAGTCTGCCCTATGACACACACAGCTGAGCACAGCGAGCAAAAGGAAAGAAAAAACAAGTCAGTCACAGATTCTAAAACTCTGAATGGCATCTTTCATTACGCCGGGTAAGATAATAAGTTCTCACACTTGTTCTAGGTGTGTCAGAAACTATAAGGGAGAGCCCAAAAGAACAAAGGCGAGAGAAGCAACAAATGGTGAGAAGGACTACTGATGACACAAGCATTTCACTCAACTTAGAGCTCCAGCAACAAACAACATAACCTTCCTCCAGTGTCCATCTATATGGCATCAACATCATTTTTAAAAGATTTCTATTTTTTAAACTTTTTTTTCATTGAAAAGTCAGATATAGATAGAGGAAGAGAGACAGCAAGATCTTCCATCCAATGATTCACTCCCCAAGTGGCTACAATGGCCAGAAGTGTGCCAATCTGAAGCCAGAAGCCAGGAGGCTCTTCCGGGTCTCCCACACACATGCAGGGTTCCAAGGCTTTGGGTCTTTCTTGACTGCTTTCCCAGACCACAAGCAGGAGGTTGGATGGGAAGTGGGGGAGCCAGGATTAGAACTGGTGCCCATATGGGATCCTGGCACATGCAAGGTGAAGACTTTAGCCACTAGGCTACAACGCCAGGCCCAACATTTTTTTTTTAAGAAAAAGAATTCCTTAGATAATATTGAGGATTTCACATATAAAAACATGTCTGCAATTTATTCTCAAGCGGTTCAAAAGAACATGTGTGTGTGTGTGTGTTCTACTTGTATCTGTCCACCTGAATATATGACAAATACCTTTAAGAGTTTATGAAGGCCTGGCATTGTTGAGTACTGGGTAAAGCCACAACCTGATAAGCCAGTGTCTCTTCTGGGTGCCAGTTCATATCCCAGTTGCTGTACCTCCAATTCAGCACCTGTTAATGCACTGGGGAAAGCAGCAGCAGATGAGCCCCTGCTGCCAAGGTGTGAGACCCCAAAGAAGTTCCCGACTCCTGCCGTCAGAAAGGCCTAAACTGGCCACTGCAGCCATCTGGGGAGCAAACTAGCAAATGAAAGATTCTCTCTTGCTCATTCTCTCTCTCTCTCTCTTATAATTATCTCCTTAAATAAAAACCAATCTAAAAAAAAGAAAAGATAAATTTTATGTTGGGGATCTTAGAGTACAAGAAGTTATAAGGCACTATAAGTTTTTTAATTGTACAAAAAGAATAAATAACCTCACAAAGCACAAGTGATATATCAGTACAAATTAACCAAACACTGGGAGAAAGATTGCAATTTCACATCTATTATTTTTTTTAAAGATTTATTTTATTTTTATTGGAAAGGCAGATATACAGAGAGGAGAGACAGAGAGGAAGATCTTCCGTCCGATGATTCACTCCCCAAGTGACCGCAACGGCCGATACTATGCCGATCCAAAGCCAGGAGCCTCTTCCGGGTCTCCCATGCAGGTGCAGGGTCCCAAAGCTTTGGGTAGTCCTCGACTGCTTTCCCAGGCCACAGGCAGGGAGCTGGAAGGGAAGCGGGGCTTGCACGCTTCCCTTGCACGCCCGGGATCCCATGTGGGCGCCGGTTCTAATCCCAGCGGCCCCGTTTCTTGGAGTACAGAAGGGGTTTTCTCCCACCCCATTTGAAAAAAACAGAGAATCGATGCATGTCAGAAGCTGACTGTGTTACATTCAAATTCATGTAATTATTATGAAGTCTCACAGGGTTTTACCAGTTTTCTCTTTTAAAATTTCTTTAATTTTAAGTCAGACAGAGAGAAAAAGAAATCTTTCAACCTCTGGTTCACTCCCCAAACAGCTGCAACAGTGAAAGCTAAGCAAGTCTTAAGTCAGGAACTCAGATCTCTAGTCTGGTCTCCCAGGTGGGTGCCCAGGAGCAATCACTCGGGCCATCGTCTGCTGCTTCCCAGGTATGCATCAGCGGGAAACCGGAACCGGATGTGAAGCTATAACTCATATCCAGGTTCTCGGACATGAGATGCAGGCTTGAGAGTAACCAGGAGGGCATTTTAACTGTTTCAGCAAACATCCTATCCCTAGCATTTTTTAAAAAATACACCCCCACACCCACATAATTTTTTTAAATTTTTATTGGAAAGTCAGATATACAGAGAGGAGAGGCAGAGAGGAACATCTTCCATCCACTGGTTCACTCCCCAAGCAGCCGCAATGGCCAGACCTACGCCGATGTGAAGCCAGGGGCCAGGAGCCTCTTCCAAGTCTCCCACGTGGGTACAGGGTCCCAAGGCTTTGAGCCTTCCTCAACTGCTTTCTCAGGCCACAAGCAGGGAGCTGGATGGAAAGCAGGCTCATCGGGATTAGAGCCGACACCCATTTAGGATCCCAGCATGTGCAAGGTGAGGACTTTAGCTGCTAGGCTACCATGCCAGGCCCATGGCAACTAAATCCTATATGCAAAGGTAGACTATAATCATTTGCCCCTATAGCAGTTACAGCCAAAGTGCTTACATCATCCTGCGGACAAAAGTCCTAGACAACAACATCAAAACACACAGGGGGCTACCTGACAACCAGGATAATTTATTGATCATTTGTAACACTTCTGGCAAAAATGCATCATCATCTTCATATATACTTACTAGTTTCTGAGAATGTCCCAAGATCATGGAGTAACTGATCACGAAGACAAAGATTTTCAAATTTTACTGTTGTGTTCCTTTCAATTCTGAAAAAGATAGTGATACCTAACATCTGTGGAAGTGGAAGCCAAAATTCGATGGAAGGAGGCGGGCTTGGTGCAACAGCCTAATGGCTAAAGTCCTCGCCTTGTATGCGCCAGGATCCCTTATGGGTGCCAGTTCTACTCCCAGCTGCTCCACTCGCCATCCAGCTCCCTGCTTGTGGTCTGGGAAAGCAGTCGAGGATGGCCCAAAGTCTTGGGACCCTGCACCCATGTGGGAGACCTGGAAGAAGCTCCTGGATCCTGCCTCCTGCCCTCAGATTGGGTTGGGTCAGTTCTAGCTGCTGTCACCACCTGGCGAGTGAGCCAACAAATGAAAAGTATTTCCCTTTGTCTTTCATTCTCTTTGTAAATCCTTCAAATTAAAAAAATTATATTGAAGGAAGCATATCATCTTATTACATTTTTTCTTGTGTAGCAGAGCATTACATTATAGCTTACTGCCTTCTTGCGGGCAGACCAAAAACCTTCCCATGTATAAGATGATGGCAAACAGTGTCTCAATCTCTTAGCAGACCTTGACATCCCAGAGCAGATTTACCAAGATGCATTGCAGCCTAAGCTGCAAGGCTCCTCTCCTTGGTACAGGATTTCTGGGCATGGTCCAAATTTCCTATTTTAAATAAAAGGTCTT